AGGCTTTGTTGGGCTGCTGGATAAAACCTGGAACTAAACGCTATTTCTGACATCTTGAATTGAAAAAGCTTCCTAGATGGGAAGCAAAACATCATCAAAGTTGTTAACAAAGTCCAGTGGATTGATTTTAATTTTGTGGCCAAAAATGATATATTGCTATACTCTAAGAATAAATACCAGTCTTATTGGTTTTTATAAAGAATATCTAAACAGAAGGACATTAAAAGCACCAGAAATAAGTTTTGTAGAGCTATTTTTCTTTTAATTATCTTAAAATTGCATTTTATTATAATCATACCCTATAGAAGAAAAAGCATGCTTTATCTTAATGAATCTTTTTATGTTTTTCATTGTCTTAAGCTAATAAAGCCAATCAAATGTTTGTTGTTTAAGATGGCACATATTTACCCAAAATAAAACTTGTTGTATTTTTATTTATATATTAAAAAGTCATATTTTTCATCTGTAAATGACTTTTATTTTGCCAGACTCTGTGCAAAATGGCTCTTTGGATATGAAAGTTTGACACGTTTCTACATTTCTGTATATTTTTAAATCCAGAATGCCCACGTTTGGCTCCCAGATGCAGCAGAAGTTTGGAAATCTGCAGAGCTCCTCAAAGACTACAATCCTGGTGACTCGACTCTGTCTTTGCAGCTGGAAGATGGAACGGTGAGACCCCCCCCCCACTAAAAAACCCACAGAAACACACCCAGACGGCTCAACGAGATGGAAATTGATTTGCAATGTTCTCAAAGTGCCAAGTGCATATTTCTTCCCTCGAAGCTGGAAGCAGAGCCTAGTAAATTTAGGCTCTATGATGGGTTTTGGTGACAGCTGGGCTGCTGTGTAATCTCTTCACACTATCTGGCAGAAAACGCAGCTTTTGGTCGTATTTCTCTGAATAAAATGTTTTTGCTGCTGTCAATAGACGCAAAGTGAGTCAAACTGTGGGGTTTAAAAAGTTTTCTTCCAGTCCCGCTGCTACCTGAAGGTACTGTGTCGAGTTTGGGCATGCACATCAGGTATGGAAATAAGGTCAAATATTATCTTGAGTGAACATGAACAGGCCACGCTCAGAGGCTTTCCTGTTAGCTTCCACTTCCAAGTATCACTGAAACACACAGACCTGCAGTGTTTGCATGTTTTGCTTGTTTTTATAGAAGAGAGTATCCGTCTTCTGATTTAGGATATACTCAAATTTATTTACTTTTTTGTATCTTTATTTTAGGTTTTGGAGCACAGAATAGACCCCAAAACCCCAAACCTGCCCCCTCTCAGAAACCCCAACATCCTGGTGGGAGAGAATGACCTCACGGCTCTCAGCTACCTCCACGAGCCGGCCGTGCTGCACAACCTTAAAGTGCGCTTTATCGACTCCAAGCTGATTTACACCTACTGTGGTAATGAGCTTCCTCTCCTTTGACTGCGCTATCACTGTCAGCCTAGACTTTGGATCCTTACTCACTGCATGTGCTGATATAACCTGGAGACATTAAGCTGATTAGTGTGATGCTGGCTTTAAAGGAACACAACACTATCATATTACGGAGTGTAACAGTGAGCTTGTTGCAGATATTTTTGATTTATGCCCAATATTGAAGCGTGGTCTGCACTATGTTATTCCACGCCACAACGTCAGAGGGCCAATCAGGAACTAGCTGTGGATCTAGATACGACCGAGGCGGGGAGGAAGTGGGGGCAAGTTTGTGCAACAATTGAGGGACATGAGGGCCAAAAAGAGCGGGGATCCAGGTGGAAAAAGGGTCCCAGCGTTCTCACGCACCTCGCTCTGCTAGCTGCTCCATCTTCACCAGTCGTTTTCCACAATGGCGGCCAGACAAACAAAACAAGCCGGTTAGGAAATACTCATAGTGTAGAGTGGATGTAGATTTTACCAATCAGAGGCCTCCTGTCTGCGGTCTATTCAGTTTCTTTCTATAGCTCCAATTCACATCATGTCATCTCAGGTCACTTTCCAGTTCAACCAGATCATCCAGTCAGATTGATTCAAAGTTTTCTATCTAAGGAAAACCAGCTGATTGCATCGACTCATTGACTCTTCAGCAATCCCTCACACTAAGCATGATGGTAGCGACAGTGGAGAGGAAAAACTCCCTTTGAACAGGAAGAAACCTCCAGCAGAACCAGGCACTGTTAAATTGGACACTGTTGCCATTGATAAA